TCTGATTTTCAATCATAAGAAGAGTAAGGATAATTTCTTATGAAAATCTAAGTATCTAACAGTGAAATTTTAGTTGATAGTTTAACTATAAATCAGAACATGACTGTTGAATTTTGGCTAAAGGACGTTACTATACTCTTACAAAAAAACTTCTCCCAAAATACGGTCATTTGAAAACAATTTCATTTCTAATTGCATGTATAGTTTCTATTTGAAATCGACCTTCTGTTCTTCCTTCTATGAAGCTTTTAGTTTATTTATAGTTTATGTTAGGTTTATTATATTATTTTTATAACTTTAATCTTTTGGTTTTTCTCAAGTTTATTATCTATTTCTTTTACTAAATCACGAAAAATAATTTGACCAAAAAAAAAAAACATATATAAGATAAAATTAAATATAATGATTTATTGTAAGTTTATTATCTATTTTTCTACAAAATCATGAAAAAATAATTTGACAAAAAAACCAAAACAAAACTAAATATAAACTACAAATAAGAAAAAAAAAATTAATAATTATAATCTTTTTTTTTTCTCAAACGATAGGACATCTCATTTCACTCAAAAAACACACCAAGTTCAAGAACAATACAAAGACTCCAGCCTAATACAATGAGAGGCATGCTAATAACCAGCAGCCTAAATACAGAATCAATACACAAACATAAATCACTGGGATCAAAGGCAGATAATATGATACTGCACCCTCCAATCCCTCAAATACACTTAGCTAAAATCAGCAAACAAAGAGAATGAAATTCTAAAGCAAAGAAAACCTACCACTGACACGAGACCTAGTAGCTTCTCCTTACTGAACAACCCGTCATTCTCTGTTTGCTTGAAATTCCTGCCACTCTTGCACTGCTTCTTTAATAATCACCCACTCCGGCATCTAGATTTTTTCAAACACCCAAAGATTTCTTGCCTTCCATAACATCCATAGGATATAAGTTGACAACTGAATTCTATGCTCCGAGGTTTCCTTCTTATCCAAAGTACAAATCCACCACCACCATTCCTTAAAACTAAGCTGTGTCGTTTACCTCGTGTCCCACTGAATTGGGGCCAACTTCCAAGTTCTAACATCTTTTGAACACCTAAATAACACATGTTCCAGAATTTCCTCTTCTTCCCCGCAACAATGACATATGATATCCACCTGTAGGCCTTTCTTTTGCAAATTTACCCCAACTGGCATAATATTTGAAAAACATTTCCAAATGAAATGTTTAATCTTTCCCATCACCTTTAATTTCCAACATCTCATTCTTGCTTTTGAGTTGAGCAACACTGCCTTACTGCACTCTGCCTCCTCCAATCTTCCAACCTTATTACACAATAAAGATTTATACATAGAAGCAATAGATAAAGTACCTTTAGCATCAAGAGTGCATTTCCATTTATCAGGCAATTTTGGATTAAAAGTTGTGATCTTCAAAACCTCCTCAGCATCCCTCTCCTGGAACATAGCTTTCACCAAATTAACATCCCAATGATAACCACCTATTCCCAGTAAGTCCTTAACTCTGAATGCAGCCCCATCAACTTGAATTCTAATAGCAGGACTCCTACCTTTTATCCCAGGAACCCAGTTGAGGTCAGCTATTCTGGTTCCCTCACCATCCCTGACTACTAGCTCCACTCCGTCTCTAAGAATTGGGATCAACTGGGTCCAAGAGTTCCAAAGCCATGAAGCTCCCTGCTTGCCTCTGCACTCGAGTAAAGAACCATTTGCAAAGTACTTACCCTTAAGCACTCTACTAACAAGTAAATCGGGTTGATTCAAAATTGTCCAAAGTTGCTTAGCAATCAAGGCCTTGTTAAACAACTTGAGATCATGAAAACCCAATCCACCACAATTCTTAGGGACAACCATTTTATCCAAGCCTTCCAAAAAATCCCTTTTTGCTGCTCATCTTCTTTTGACCACCAGAACTTAGCCATAATTCTACTCAAGTCCTTACAAATGCCTACTGGTAAAAGGAAACAAGACATCACAAAAATTGGCATAACATTGATCACCGATTTCAAAAGCACCTTTTTTCCCGCAGTAGATAAATATTTGTTTTTCCAGCTGCAAATTCTGTTTTCCACTGCTTTAGTAACATAGGAAAAAGCTTCCCTCTTTGATTTACCAATCCCCAAAGGTATTCCTAAGTATTTCGAAGACTTATGCACCGGGACTTCCTTCAAGATATTACAGATGCTAACTCTCACCTCATCAGAGCAGTTCTTACTAAGAAAGAGAGATGATTTAGCCAAATTAACCTTCTGGCCTGAAAATGCTTGATACTCACTCAAAATATCTAGAATCAATTGAGCATGAAATTCATCAGCCTTACAAAACACAAGCGAGTCATCAACAAATAGTAGATGAGAAATAATTGGCCCTTGAGAAGATAATCTGATCCCCTTGAATAACCCCTGTCTGATTTTAGAATTTAATAATTATAATCTAACCATTAATAAACATCAATCTAACTCTCAAATGTTCAAAAAACAATTATATTACATACCAATAAGTCCAATACACAAAGCAAAATTGTCCATTGCCTCGGTACCAAAGTAAAAAAAAAAAAAAATCAGTAGAACATTATAAACTATTTCTCATCCGAAAATAAACCAAAACCTATCACCTTTATCCGAATCTTCACCACACTAGTTTTTAGCCGTCATCCATACAAAATTGCTTAGCCCCGAACCTAGTAGTCAACTCTTAGACCTTGCACCAAGGTGGGGATCTTGCTTGGCTTGAATTTTTAATCACAGAAGATGGTGGAGACTGGTGTTTGACCTGGGATTTGATAGTCGTTCATGATCTTGCTCGATCTAGATCTGATAGTGCTTGGTTTTGGATCTGATAGCCGATAGCGGTGTGGCTCAACGGGATCTGATAGCCGGCGACAATAATTAAAAAAAATCAACGAATAAAATAAATAATTAAAACCTAATGTTGAACTACAAAGAGAGGAAAAAGAGATCATAGATGTTGAGAGATGAAAATAAATTAGAAAGAAGAAGAGAAATTTTCAAGGGAAAAAAATGATGAAGGGAAGTAAGATAGAGTAAGGAAATAAAATCCAATATTTTATTTATATTAATGTCGAGAAGGAATAAAAAAGTTCAGAATGCGTAGGATTGGATACAAATATTAAGGAGATGATTGGATATGAATTCAACTAGTTAAAAACTAGTTTTTTTTGAACTATAGTTAAGTTTGAAAAAAAATGATATGGTTAGTTATTAGTGGATATTTAAAATAATATTTAAATTAAAATAATTAAAGTTGATTTGATGTAAAAGTAAGAAAAAATGATTGGAAGTGATTGTTAGTTAAAATTATGTGAGTGAGTGAATAGTGCATTAAATTTGATGTGATATGTAATAATGATGTGGTTGATATTATTTAATTATATTGATAATATTGAAGATAGTAGAGTTGAGTTAAATTTGAGTTTTGAATAGGATATTTACTGTACAAATTATATACAATTACGCCCTAAATATCGTATTAGGAGAAAATAAAACTAGACTTGAACGTCCCGCAGGTAATTATCTCTAATCTCATGTACCTTAACAAATGAGCTCTAACAGAATTATTTTTATTAATTGAAACTACGTCGTTGAGGGAAGCAATCCTCTATTCCCAACCCAAAGGCGAGCGAGGCCCCAATTTCTCTGCGTAACAGAAATCAAAAACAAAAAACCTCAACCAAAATGGCGTCGACGGTGAAGTACGTGCGTGTGCCGCCGAACTCGGCGAGCTTGGCGGAGGCGCGGCAGCGCGTGTTCGAGTTCTTCAAGACCGCCTGCAGATCCATCCCCACCATCATGGACATCTACACCCTTGACGACGTCACTTCTCCTTCCCAGCTCCGCTCCGTCATCTCGTCCGAGATCCGCAAGAATGCTGGCGTCACTAACACCAAGGTTTGCTCCGTTTTCCACTACCCTTTTACCTTTGATCTGAATTTTTGGCAAACGTTGTAGGAGAACTGAGGATACTAGATTGTTGTGATAATTTGAGGTGAGTATATGAATTGCAGATTAGAGATACTAATTGCTCAAAGTTGATGGTTTGGTCAATTTTCCGAAAGCCCAGTTGCGTTTAAGAGATAAATATTCGTCATAGGATGAGTGCAAAGAATCCTGTAAGTTTATAATTAGCTTAAGTTTGGTTAGATGGATCAGACCAAGATTGTCCCTTTTCCATATCGTTTTTCTTGGACGTGTTTGGATAGAATTGGAATGACATAGAAGTTAGCTTGGTCCTGCTGTACCTGTATTGGCTTGCGGAGATTAAAAGGATGATCTAGTATGTTCCACATTTTCTATGTATAAAATTGAAATTTAATAATGATGAAGAGGGTTATTTGAAACGGGATGTGATTTTTATGCTATTGAAGGTTGTATCCAATTGTTTTTCTTTAATATGACATTGGTCCCGAAAATTGGCTACTCAAAATCTGCAATTCATTTTGTATCATTCTGTATAAAGTTAATGATATAGCACAAGAGCTTATTGTTATCTGAAGGATTGATTCAATTCTGATGCAGCAATGATGCATGAAATGGGATCCATTTCAGTCATCTAACAACAAAATATTCTATTTGGTGGAGAATCTTTAAAACAATACTTAACATCTTTGGCGTAATGGATACTTTTGAACTCAGTATTTAGGATTAACAAAAGAAACAAATGGACTCTATATTGAGCTGCCTTCCATGCGCTTTGCTTATTATTTTTAATAAGTTGTTGATTAGAGAAAGCCTTTTACACGATGAAGCAACTACTTTCCGTGTCTTCTATCTACCAAAAATCATAGTGTTTCAACATTCTCTCTATACATTGAGGCAACGTATAACTTATGTGTTTTGCAAAGAGGTCTTACCCATGTTTTAGCTTACTTTTCACTAGATGGCACATGGCTGAGCATAGCTAATTTTTGCTTGATGTTGTGCCAAATTGAAAGTCAATCAAGTGCTATTTATTAGCATTTGCTCGTGCTTGTGTCTTGTGTGAGTACTGCCTTTGGCCCCCCAGGCCCTGTTGGACTTGAACCATACTTTGCATGCTTTAGATCTATTTGAACAGAAGTGGTGAAACATAGTTCCCTTAACTGAGGATATGTTAATTGCTTCGTTAGGAATATGTAACATGTTCAGATGCTGTTGAGTATTTTTCTGTACCTTGTCTGATAGAATGTGGGTTCATTTGTAATGGCCAAAGAAGATGTAGAATTTACCATTCATACAGCAGTCAGTCTTCTCCTATGTGGTGGGTTCAATTGTTAACGTCCCAATCCCGCTCATCTGCACAAAGATTTAGATCTTGACAAATGTTTGTTAAAAACACTATGTTTATTATTTTATTTATTTTATGTGTCGATTCAGAGAACTTGGCCGTTAAATTATTAAAATATTTTGGACCAGCAACATTCCTTCATCTCAAGACACACGGTCATTTTGCAGGTCATTGATATGCTTTTGTTCAAGGGAACAGAGGAATTGAGCAACATTGTTGAGCACGCGAAACAGCGGCACCACATTCTTGGCCAATATGTTTTAGGTCGTGATGGCTTAGCTCAAGATCTCGAAACCAAGGATCAGGGTGCGTCTAATTTCCTGAAAAACTTCTATAAGAGCAACTACTTCTGATTTTTCCCCCCTTTTGGATTGCTTGTTATGATCAATGCTGGTTGAACCAGTAATAAAGAGAACTTCGACTGTATGTTGTCTTTAGCTTATCTTGTTGGCCGACTAGTTATCTTCCCCTTGTACTCCATAAAAGGTGTTATGTTGGATCAATTTCATTGAAATGCATTTTGGCAGTGGTGATTTTACTCAGATTTCATTAAAAAGTGTGTTACATGTGTCTATACTAATACACCACTGAGTCCTCACATCAAACGAGTTGGCTCAACTTGTTCTCAAGCACTCCAAGGTTGTCCTTGCTCATGTTCACCCAAGCTTCTATCCCTTCTCCACACCTACTCCTCACCAAAACTATCACGTTCTTTAACGGCAAACTCGTCGTGCAAACTAAAGCCGGTTTTCCCCACCCAAAGTCCATCTCATACACCGGAAATTGACACCAACTGCTAAACCGGCAATACTCCAACTCTCCCTTCCCCAGTAGAGCAACAAGTTCGAACAATTCCTTCAAATAACCATCCTAATCCCGAGCTTTCCTAATGTAGTCTTCGTTTACATTCTTAATCTTGCTTCTAAGTATTGTAATGAGATCATGGAACTCCTCATCGCGTGAGGTTGTTGCCATTGCCGCCATGATGCAATTTCCGAACACGTTCTAGAGGAGTCGAGGCTGGCCTGCCCTAGCCCTCAGGTTCACGGCGTGGAACGCCGCGAAAACCTTCCTTTTCTCGACATTCTTGGATTTACCTGTCTCGATTATAACTTTCCATATATAAGTCGAGACAAGCTCCACTCGCGTGGGGTCCATGATGGTCGAGCTTGCCGCAGCCCGCCTGAGGGCCGCCAGCTTCCTCTCGTCGAATACAAACCTCCTTGTACGGAAATTCTCGTCCGACATGGGGAATCTGGGGAGGCTCAACCCCGAGAAGTCCCTAGCCGGAAAATAAGTGGCAAGGTCGAAACTTATTACGACCTCGTTAGAAATTTCGCTGTTTTCACCTCGACACTCGGCGGTCCACAGCCGAAGAAAGCTCATCATGGACACGCAGTCGGCCACCCGGTGTGAAAAGCACATCCCGACGGCAACCCCTCCGCAGTCGAAAAACGTGGCATGCACGAGCAAAAGAGCCGACCTGTTGCCGAGGTACGCCTTTAGTTCCTCCATGCCGTTGTTCGGCATGGAGTTGGCCCGAACATCGATGAACTCTACGCCTGTGTCGTTGCATTTGATCGTGAAGTCGTCGAGGACACGACCAGGAACCGGGAAGAACGAGACTAATGCGCGCGAGAGGGATTGTTTGAGGTGTCGGGACATTTGGGAGTGGCCGGGTTGCGCGAACGTTGGGCCATTTGTCGGGATTATGCGATCAGGGACTCGGTAGAAGAAGATGAGGGGAAAGTAGAGATGGGGGCATAGTTGGTCGAGGTATGAGAGTTTGAGGTTTTTGAGGNCGCAAGAGATATATGTAATGAGAGCGCCCGACTTAACTAGATTCTATTTGTTATTTTTTTTTTTCGAAACGATAGGAATAATATAACTCACGGGAAATTACAAAGTTACGAGGGCCAACTGACCCTATACAATACAAATGAGGAAGGATAACTTCCTAAATGAAAGGGAATGATTGCATCCGTAAACGGCAGAGAGAGCTGCTCTGAGATTGTTTACCGGATACAAACAATACTACAAAAGATAAAATCAAGGTAGAAAGCAATATGACCAAACCAACAGCAAAATTAACAAACCACTGCCCCCACGGCCTAGTTTGTTAACAAAACCTAAGGAAACAAAAATAAACAGAACAAAGAAAAAGACATATGATCCCCTAAAAACATACTATGTACAACTAAGGTTAAATACTATTGAACTCAAGCCACTCCTTCCAAGCTATGGTAACCGTGGCTGCCTCCGGCCTCAGCTTGTTTTAAAAAATCCATAGATTCCTTGTCTTCCATATCCACCAAAGTAAGTACGTAGAGAGCTGCATCCTGTCTTCTGAGATGGAGTTATGGGGGAGAGAACAAAGTTTGAGCCACCAAGCCTTGAAAGAGTCAGTACATCCCTGCAAACCTTCCCATGACACTGGTGCAATTTTCCAAATTAATGCGGCCCTGCTGCAAGTGAAGAAGAGGTGTTCCAGTGTTTCTTGGCCTTCCTCACAGATTTTGCATATTGAATCTATCTTCAATCTCTTAGCTGCGAGGTTGCTCATCACAGGGAGAGTGTTGTTTAGGCATCTCCAAATGAAATGTTTGAGTTTGCCCTTGACTTTGAGATTCCAGGTTCTTCTTCTTGCAGCTTTAAGATGAATTAGCTCTCGGCTCCCCTCAAGCAGGTCTAGAGTGCCATTTCTTCTCAATCAGGTTGGCATAAGCAGATGCAACCGAGAATTGCCCGTTTCTACTCCAAATCCATCTGATCCTGCCAGGCTTATGTGGATCAAGCCCTGAGATATCCAGGATTGCATCTGCTTCCGGTTTTTGGAAGTTTCCTTCAATAAGTTGTCTGTTCCATTTTCTTCCGGAGTCCTCAATAAGCTCACTAACCTGTTTTACATACATGTCTGAGTGAATTGTTTTCAGAGAGTTTGAAATTTGGCAGTTTAGGAATCCATGGATGTCCCCAAATGTTTGTGGACTTCCCATCATAAACTTTTATCATCAGGCCACTTTGCATTGAATCTTTCACTTTCAACCAACTCTTCCAGAGCCATGAACTGTTGTGCTTGGGTTTTGCATTAAAAAGATCTTGTCTTGGAAAATACAACCCCTTGATTACCTTGCTGACGAGCAGATTCGGGTGAGAGAGTAGCCTCCAAAGTTGTTTGGAAATGAGTGCTTTGTTGAATAAATGAAGGTCATGAAAGCCTAAACCCCCTCTGTCCTTAGGCAAGGTAATCTGATCCCAAGATTTCCAATGTATGCCCTGTTTACTCTTGTCTTTGCTTTGCCACCAGAAGTTAGCAATTGAGTTGGAGATCTTTGCTGTCACATATTGAGCATCAGGAAGCATGAATATGCATATGTGGGTAATGCACTCAATACCGCATTTATTAACACTTCCTTGCCTGCAAAAGAGAGAGACTTGTTCTGCCAACTACCAAGTCTTGCATTCACAGAATCCACAACAAAAGCAAAGGTGCTGTTTTTGGACTTTCCAATACCTAGGGGAAGTCCCAGGTATTTGGAGGATGAGACAACTGTTAAACCTTGCAGGACATTACAAATTTCCAGTTGGGTGCTCAAAGGTGTATTTTTACTAAAAAAAGACAGAGGATTTAGATAGGTTCACTTTTTGGCCAGTGAGGTTCTGATAAGAAGTCAGAATTTTTTGCAATATTACAGTTTGAGCAAGATCCGCTTTCACAAAAACAAGTGTATCATCCGCAAAGCATAAATGTGTCAGAAGGGGGCAATGCTTCCCAAGTTTGATACCCCGCAAAGAGCCTTTATTCACTTCCAGGTTAATTAGGTGAGTGAGAATTTGAGAGATAAGGATGAAAAGATAAGGAGATAATGGATCTCTTTGCCGTAGACCTATGGAAGGATTGACATAACCACACACGTTCGTTAACATTGAAAGAGAAGGAAGATGAAGAGATGCAGCACATAATCCAATTCACAAATGCAGAGTTAAAGCCCATTACAGTCAAAACTAATCTCACACTCTCCCATTCAACACGATCAAAAGCCTTTTCCATATCGAGCTTAATCTCAATATAACAGTTTTTACCTACTCTATGGTTTTTCAAAAAATGAATCACCTCATGAGCAATTATAACATAATCAATAATTTGGCGATTAGCAACAAAGGCTGATTGATTAGAGCTAATGCACACAGACAGACATGGTTTAAGCCTATTCGCTAAATTTTTTGAAATCACTTCATATGCCACATTACATAGGCTAATCGGCCTGAATTTAGCAACGGAAACAGGGTTTGGACATTTAGGGATCAAGGTGATGACGGAGTGATTTAAGCACTTCAGAATTCTACTGGATTCAAAAAAACTAAGAACAACAGCGCATAAATCTTGCTTAATCAGGGGCCAGAATGAGTGAAAAAAGATAGAGCTCATACCGTCGGGTCCTGGGGCTTTCGAAGGGTTGATGTTAAAAAGAGCTCCTTTAATTTCTTCATGGTCCACTGGAGCAACCAAATCAGTGTTCATCTTCATCGAAATCACCTTGTTCAGCCCTTGCAGAATGTAGTCATTATCCGAGAATCCCTCTGTGGTGAAGAGGTTTGAGAAGAAATCCTCTATGCAGTGGGATATGACATCATGAGACTCGCAAATAGTTTGGTCCTTTCGCGTCAGTTGGTGAATGGTATTCTTCTTCCGCCTTTGAAGAGTTTGAGCGTGAAAATATCGCGTGTTCTTGTCCCCTGACTTGAGCCATTGTACTCTTGATTTCTGCTCCCAGAACCTGCCTTCAAATCTGTAGGCTGCATCTAATTCATGATTGAGGAGATCCCAGGTTTGCCAGTCTCGTAGTCCACTCTGCTCTCTTAAGGCCGAAAGTTGTCTGTTGAGGTCTTCTATCTTCTTGAGGTTATCAGATTTGAATGAACTACTCCACTTTAGTATTTCAATTCTGGTGTTCTTAATTTTACATTTCAGGTTGAACATTGGAGTACCTTGCTGCTAGGTACTCCAAGCTTTGGCAATTACATCTTCAATTCCAGGTTTTTCTAGCCATCTTTTGTCAAAGAAAAAGGTTTTCTTCTTTTTTTTATCCTCTGGAATGCAGGTCAGCAAAATGAGGTTGTGGTCGGATGCGCTTCTAAAAATATTGGTTGCCTTGGGAGATGGATAAAGGCTTAGCAGATCGAGGGAAAAGAAGAAACGATCAAGCTTTTCTTCAATAAAACCTTCCGATTCTCTGTTATTAGCCCAGGGTATCCCTGCAAGCTAATATCCAGCATACACATATTCTGGACAAATCCGTTGAATTGGCTACAAGAAGCGATGGTTCTCAATCTACCTCCTCGTTTCTCATGCGGATGAGATATCTCGTTGAAGTCTCCCCCGACAAACCAATATTTTCCCCAGGTTGCTTTCCTCCAGATGAGATAGTTCTATTGGGTTTTTCTCTCTTCTGCTTCTGTGCTAGCATATATGAATACTCCCCAGCAGACTGTTTGCTTTAGCTCGTCCCAAAACTCTATTTCTATGCAAAACGGGTTTTTGCAAATCTGGAAAACTTGCAGAGAGTGTTGCCAAAATAGCAGTAGGCCACCACTCTTACCCACCGGTTCGACTGAAGTCCGATTACTACTAACTCCTAGGTTTCTGCATACTGTAGTAATAAAGTAGTTTTTCTTTTTTGTTTCTGATAGGAACATGAAAACTGGGTGATGGAGCCTCCAAATCTCCTTAACCTGTGGAATTGTAGAGGGGCCACCCGCACCTCTACAATTCCACACCGCCGCTCTCATTGGGAACCGTGGGGCCATTTAAGGCTGGTGTCCTCCACCGCTTGATCAGTAAGTTTGAGTTGTTTTGGCAGGGTCTCACTTTGGTTGATATGTTGTGGGGAATCCGAGGTGATGATAACAGGTAATTCCAAGGTTCTTTTCCTCCTGGGTGAGATTTTAAGCTGGGAGACCTCTTCTTTGTTGACTGGGTTCTTTCTTCTCCAAGTTGATGTTTTAGGTTTGGAGTCTGGTTGTGTATTGTGGGTGATCTCTGGTTCAAAGTGGGTGATGGTTGATGTGTTGGAGGATGGGATTATCGGTTCTTCCAGGTCCATAGGTAAAGTTGACAGGGTGGAGAGGTGAATTATATCGGGGGAGGATGAGCTAGGTTTAGTGTTTGGAATCATTTGCTGCTCAAGTTGAGGGGAGGATAAAGAGGATTATAGTTTATGAGAGGGCTCTTGTGGATTAGGAATTTCAGAGGTATGATTGAGGCTTTCTTTGCTAGGTTGGGGGGATTGAGGGTGTGCAGTGTTTTGAGATGGGCTATCTGAGGGGCTTGGGGCTGAGAAGAACTGTAATTCTGAAGCTTTGAGCCAGTTACCATATAGAGTTTCTTTGGGGCAGCCCTTAGTGATATCTTCTGTTATCTTGTCACATGATCTGTTAAGGTGACCCAAGCAGCCGCAGTAGAAGCAGAAACTGGTAAGTTGTTCATATTTAAACTGAATTAAAATTTGTTTTCTTCACACTGCAGGCTGGCACATCGGGGGATTGGTTTCGTTGCATCCATAACCACTCTTAGCCTGATACACTTACCTGCAAGATTTCCTCCACTGGGCACATTCACATCTAGAACACGTTTGAAGATTTTTCCCAGCTTTAGCCCTACATCTAACGAGTGCCAATGGAGGGGCAGGTTCCAAGCTTGAGCCCAAATTTCCACTTCCTGGAACCTCTGATGATTTTATGTTAAGTCAGCTGACCACTCCAATGAGAAACTGATTTTCAAATGTCCATTTCATTCCTTTACTGACTTTAATTTTATTGGAGTTATCGGAGAAAAGGAATTGGAAGAAATTAGGGCTAATTTCTCCGACCGAGACGGTTGACTTAATCTGCCACATCTGGTTGATTGCTCGTCGGATTCCAACCAAGCTTGCCCTTTTTTGCCCAATTATTTTACCCAAGAAACTTTTCTGGCAATCCTCGGCACTTTGAGCGAAGTCTGGTGGTTCAATCGGAATTATAGTACTTTCCTGCTCTGATAATTAACAAGATTCAAGTTTCGCTGTGATATCTTCCTCCATTGAAGACTGATTTGGTTGCTTAAGTGGACGGAGGAGAAGATAAAGGACCTGAGAGAAGAAGAAATAGAAACAACCCACCACAGAAAAAGGAAGATAGGAAAACCAAGAAAAAAGAAGAGACTCAATGAAATTGAGAATAAGACTTAGCGAGAGATGATATCGAGAGTAAGACCTAGGCAATGGGGGATTAACCCTTCAATGTGAAGAGAATACATACCTGCACCAGGAGGAATCGGCTCTTCAAGAGAGAGAATTTTAGATACCTAAAAAAAAAATCTCTTGGTTGTAGTGTAGTTTTATTTGTTATTGTTTTTCGGGCGAAGGTTTGGTGTATTTATAGAATGCAATTGATCCAACGTTGGAGTTGTTATTTTGATGCATTTGTGGACAACATTTGTGAAGTCAGCTGATAAGATTGGAATTGGATGCATTAAGATGATCAAAAGAGTTCTGGCAAATGTTTTTTTTTTTGTTCTTTTTAATTTTTTGAACGATAAGAATTCATAGTTGTCTATTGCAAATGGAGCTGGAAGAGTCATTGTTGACAATTCTCCTGGCATAGTGCTAATAATGGACTAGCTCAAAATGACAATTAAATTCTAGTGCTTCTTCTATTAGTGAAGTTTCTAGAAAAAAAAAAAATATCAAACGGCGCAATGCACCTTGGTCGCTACGGAAACAGCCTCCTTGTATAATTACAAGGGTAAGGTCTGCGTACAACTGACCCCCCAGACCCCAACCTGTTGGGAATATACTGGGTATGTTGTTGTTGTTGCTGTTCATAAGAATTCATAGATAGAATACATCATTACGACACTGATCAACCAGCAGCCGAAATTGATAGCCAAAAACCGAATCGAACGAGAGGACATCTAAGAGGGAGCCTAAATACCACAAACTCACCAACGAGAATAAAAACTACAAACCTCTTACAAGTGGAGAAGAAAAACTATCAACAGGAGAATAGTACCAAAACACTACAAGAACACACAACAGAAGATAACCAAAACAGATACTTAATACTAGATTAAACTAAAACCCTCCTCCACGGGTGGAAAACAACACCACTCCTTCACAACTCAAGCCAAAGCCCAAGAGTAGAACCAAAGAGAAGAGGTACAGTAAGCGGCTAAGACACGACAACGAGAAAACACAACAGACAACGCCTAACTCGCTAAGGACTATCGAACCAACACTTCTTCTCAAAGGCAGCACCGTCGGTCGATGAAAAATATTGATTTTGGGTGCGGGAGACAACTGATGCAAAATAACCATTTTAAATGTTGGTTTGCTTGCCATTTCTTGGGTGCTATTTGTATATATTTTCTATTCAATGCAAGAAAAAAAAATTGATGCGATTTTTTCAATTCACTTTTTCACTATGTTTTAATATTCTAATTCAAAAACAAATTATTATGTCATACTTCTTAATAAAATGTACTATTTATCAACTCAAATATATGTAATTACCAACTATTAATTTACAAATGTTTTTATCACACTGAAATTACACTTTATATCACATCACTCAATATTAAAAAAATATTAAATCATCCACTAATTTTATCGATTCTGACTCTTTCCATTTTTACCATTAAATTACTTAAAAAACATATTAAATTGTATTTCTCTATATGTGAAATTGTTTAATTCAAATGTATAATAATTCAAATACTTCCTGAATTATATTGTCCGTGGATGTAATATGTAGTACCTTATATTATTTTGCAAAAATATAAAATTGAAAAATGAAATATTGATTCATTTGGGTGTTAACAAAGATTCATGTATACATTGTAAAATTTTATATTTTGAATATTTAATTTGTTAAGTATGATATTTAATCACTAAAATTTATATTTATTAAAAAATAAAGTGCCATTTAGTAGTATGATCTAGCTAACAAGTAACAAGACAATTAGTCAGAATTAATCGACAAAATTTGTAATAATGTCAGGACAATATTCTTGCAAAAACAAATAATTAATTCGTCACAAATGTGGGGTAATGTTTTGTAACGTTAGGGTACCTATAGCAATCCTGTATTTATATCAAGCTTTAGCTGCCTCCATATTTTTATGACGTAACAATACTATTCTCGTTTGGCAAAAAGAAGAAAAATAAAAAAATAATACTATACTCCTTTTTATGTGGTATCTTCTTTAAGGAAAGATTTTTTTTCCGTTGTGTAATAAATGAAGTGAGAGGATGATCAAGGAAAGTAGATGAGCAACAATTGTTTTAAGGAAAGATTCCTAATCAGTTTGCCTCAAAACCAAATTATCAACCCTAAAGTTCAGAAAACCTCTCAAATTCACCTCTCTGGCCGCACTGTCTCCGCTATACAATCACTCGCTTCCTGCCGGAGGTCAACCACGTATTCTACGCTCCCAACCTGCCGTCAACATAACGAGCGAGAAGATGCACGGCACATTCTAGAAGTACGGGGCGCGCAAGTCAGATCTGCATCAGCACGAACAAAGACGCGCGCGGTTCGACGATATCTTCGACGCCGGGGCCGCTGTCGAACACCATTCGGGATTCAGGCCGACAGATATCTGATCGCCTTGCACTACCAGCAGGCGAAGGTCGGCAAGAACTTTGACCAAGGAAGGTAAGTTGTTTGTTGTGTAGTTGTGGCGTTGGGCTTTTGAAGTCTTTCTATCGGTAGCCGTATTTTTTTCTCCTCCGATTTTGATTTCCCTGTTTCGTTTTGTATTGTCAAGATTCTTCTGGGTCTTCTGGGAAAAGAAAGTTACGGGTCAAAATAGCGATTGAAGAATGCAAGAAGATTTCAATAGCGTTGTCTTTTGAATTCAATTCAAGTCAGGTTACTTATTCTTCTTCTTGTCCTTTTAAATTAGTCGTAGGTGATTTTGAGTTAATTGCCTTTTTTTCGCATTGTTTATTGCTTATGTTATTTTTATTTTCTTCATGTTGTACAATTATTTGATCTGGGAAAATTTGATGCCTTAGTGCTTTATCTGAGTGAGGCCTAGTGTTTATGAGTGTGGTATATTGTTTGCTGCGTCAACTATCACCAGATAAACCTAGTTGTGCGTCAGTTTTTTTACAATCGCAGAACTCTTTCATACTGGGGTTATTGTTTGGATTATAAATTACATCATCCAATTTCATACTAATTATTTCTACTGGACTTGGATTATCTCAACTGTCAAATTTCCACTTAATTCTTTTGATAGAAAGTTTCCCTCCATCAACTTGGCGTTTCATCAGATTTTTCTTTTGTCTATTTACTAATATTTCACTATTAATGAATCGTTTTTTTTCCCTTTCGACTTTCATCTTTTGTTTGCTATCAATGTGATTAATCTGGTTTCTTTTCCCCAGACTTGGTTTGGACTTTGAATTAGGTTGTGCTACTTATTTGTGGCCAACGAGTTGACATTCAAATATATTTTTATTAGGTTTGTCTGTGTACTAATATTTTCCAACTAAGATTATGTTTTTTTGTCATGTTTTTAATTTTGATCTTTTGTACTACTCTCGTTACAGTGCATCTACAATTTGGTTTGGGATTTTTGTTGTGCTACTACTTACTTGTAGCTAAGAGATGAGATTGGACATTCTGTAAGATTTTTAAGTGTTCCTTTTATACAAATATTTTCCTACCAATGATCTCTTTATTTCCTTACATTGATTTTTTGTTCTCTGGTGCTATCAATACCTTATTCTTTATGTTTTGTTCTATTTTCTTGTGCTATCAATTCGGTCTATCCTAGTTCTTTTCCCTACCTTGGGGACGACTTGGTTGGGTCTTAGACATTCGATGTTTTTTTTCTCGTTGTCTATGTTCTATTTTTTTTCCTGAGCAATATTTTTTGTTCTAAAACGGCTTGCCATCTTTGATTTTTCGGGAATATAGTGGCATGATACACACTTTTGGGGCCTAAATTATATGTGTGTTGTGACTTGAGGATGCGGTAGTGAGCCACTGATTAGAGATTATAAAGTTCTAATAAACTATAAGATATTTTATTTTGGAGAACTCACAACCTTAAATCTTAATCTTATTTTTCATTCTCTTGGTGCTCTTAATATGGTTTCTTGGATTCCTTTGTGATACTATGGGATCGATATGGTTTCGTATTTGAATATATTGTGCTACCTACGATTCATTTGGGGGTGGGGGAGAGGCTGTGTTCGATTAGATTTTATTTCTTCTATGTACAAATGTTTCCATGTTAGTGATTTATTTTTCTCTTGTCCTTTTAACTTTGATTTTTTTGTTCTGTCTCCTACGCTATCAATATGGTTCATCCAATTTCTTTGTCATACCGTGGGGGCGACATGGTCCTGGCACTGAATTTGGTTGTACTACTTATTTGTGGCTAAAGAGTTGGACATTCAATTTGGTTTTTTTATTAGATTTGTCTATATACTAATATTTTCCAACTAAGTTCCTGTTTTTCTTTATACTTTTAATTTTGATTCTTTGTACTAGTCTCTCGTGTTTACGTGTTTACCAATAGAGTTCATTCATTTTCTTGCCCCGCCGTGGGGACGATTTGGTTTGGGCCTTGAATATGGATGTGCTGCCTATTTGTGGCCAAGGGATTGAATGTTCGATTTGATTTTTAAGTATTATTATATACTAATATTTTCCTACTCTTGATAACTTTATTTATGTATTTATTTAACATTGATTTTTTGTTCTATTCTCTTGTGCTATTAATACGGGCCATTCAATTTCCTTGCCCTACCTTGAGGGACGGCTTGGTTGGGGTTTTAAATTGTATTGTGCTATATATTTGCAGCTAAGGGATTGACCATACGATTATATTTTTCAGTTTGGTCTATGTACTAGTACATATTTTTCTAGCGATGACCCTTTATATTCAGTGTCTTGTTCTCCTAATATGGTTTCTTTAAATTCCTTTTCCATACTTTGTTTTCTTCTATGTACTTATGTTTCCCTGTTAATGACTTGTGTTTTTCCCTTATCCTTTGAACTATGATATTTTGTTCTCTTCTCCTACGCAATCCATATGGTTCATCTGATTTCTCCAGCCTACCTTGGGAACAACTTGGTTTTGGCTTTGAATTCATTTTTGCTACTTGTTTGTCGCTACGGAGTGGAACATTCATTTAATTTTTTTTAGTTCTGTTTATGCATTAAGTGTTTCCTACTTAAGCCCTATTTTTTTTTTCTTTTATTATGTTTTAAAAATTTGATTTGTACTATTCTCTTGTGCTACCAATATAGTTCATGCAATTTATTGTCCCGGACGACTTGATTTGCTCTTTGAATTTGGTTGTGCTACCTCTTTGTGGTTAATGGATTGAACATTTGATTAGATTTTTTAAGTTCTGTCATGTACTAATTAATTCCTATCAATGATGTATTTATTTTGCTTTTTTAACCTTGTATTTCTTTTCTGTTTTATTGTGCTGTGCTATCGTCCATCGGATTTTGTTGCCCTATCTTGCGGGACGACTTGGTTTGACTTTTGAATTTGATTGTTAAACTTTGTGGCTAAGGGGTCGGACATTCAATTAGTTTTTTTTTTTGTTAGTCTTTTCTATGTACTATTTTTTTCTACCAATACATTTTTCCTGACCATGTTAACATTAGTCCTTTGTGCTATTCTTCTGTGTTGTCCATATGGTTTAACCAATTTATTTGTTCCTTGGGGGTCAATTAGGACGGGGCTTTGATTTGAATTCGATTGTGCTATTTATTTGTGGGTAAGGTGTTGTGCAATAAATTAGTTATTTTTATTTTATTTCTCTATTTTTTTCTTATCATGTTAAAACTTAACCATTTCTTTTATTCTCTGGTTCATTCGAGTTCTTTGATTTACCTTGGTGGATGACTTAGTTTGGGATTATAATTCGGTTGTGCTACCTATTTGTGTCTAAAGATTGGAGTAAATTTATTATGTCTTGTTAAGCATGCGTATTTTCCTACCATCTTCTTATTTTTTCCTTATTCTTCTAATTTTTATTTTATTCCATCCTCTTATGCTTTCAAGATATGGTTCATTCAAATTATTTTCCCTATTCTGGGAAGTGCCTTGGTTTTTAACTAGTTGTGGCTAAGATGTTTGTGCTATCGACTAAGGTGTTTGGCATTTACTAATATTTTTCTACCAATAACCTATTCTTTTCCTTATCCTTTCAACTTTGATCTCTTATTTCATTCTCCTGTGCTCTCAATAGGGTTCATCCGATTTGTTTTCCTTACTTTGGGGGCGACCTTGTTTGGGCTTTGATATTTCTTGTTCCTTTGTTCCCCTCTCCTATGGTTGCAATATGGAACCTCATATTCTTTTGCCCTACTTCGGTTAACAAACAACTTGGTTTAGGTGTTGAATTTGCTTCTGCTGCATGTTTGTGGCTAAGGGGTTTGTTATCAATTATTGGATGAGGTTTTTGTTTTTCAATGTAGTGTTAGTTTATTGTCAATGACATAATTTTATTTGTTAATTGCTTATGTATTTGTAATTTCTTCCCGTTGTGCAATTATTTAATCTGAGAAAATTTGATGCCTCAGTGCTCTTTATCTAAGTGAGACATAGTGTTTATTAGTGTGGTATATTGTTTGTTGCGTTAATTATCACCGGCCAAACGATGTTGTGCGTCAGATTTTTGACAATCGCAGAACTCTTTCAAGCTGTGGTTATTGTTTCGATTATAAATTACTTAATCTAGTTTCATACGATTTATTTCTGGTGGACTTTTGGATTATCTCAACTGTCAAAGCTCCACCTAATTCGTTTGATAGAAAGTTGTCCTCCATCAACTTGGCATTTCATCAGAATTTTCTTGTCTATTTACTAATATTTAACTACTAATGAATCGTTTTTTCCTTTTGACTTTCATCTTTTGTTCTATTCTCCTACGCTATCAATATGTTCATCCGATTTCTTTGTCCTACCTTGGGCCTTGGGGATGATTTGGTTGCTTTGAATTTGGTCGTACTACTTATTTCTGGCTAAGAAATTGGACATTCAATTAGATTTTTTTTATCATTTTTGTCTACGTACGAATATTTTCCTCATGGTCCTGTTTTTCTTTATGCTCTTAATTTTGATCTTGTGTACTACTTTCTCGTGCTACCGATGTCATCCAATATCTTGTTGGGCCTAGAATTTGGTTGTACACTTATTTGTGGCTAAGGATTGGTCATTCAATTTGATTTTAAAGTGTTCATATATACTAATATTTTCCTACCATTTGTCTATTTATTTCCTTAGTAATATTAATTTTTTTTTCTCTTCTCTTGCGCTATCGATACGGCCCATCCACTTTCTTTACCCATGAGGGGCGACTTGGTTGAGGTTTTGAATTTGACTGTGCATGTATTTGCTGCTAAGGGGTTGGACATTTGATTATATTTTTCAGTTTTGTCTATTTACTCCATTTACTATATTTTTTTACCAATATTTTATTTTTTCCCATATTTTTTTACCTTTTTTTATTATAAAAGCAGTTTGCAATCTTTGATTTTTTAATATTATCCTCAATTAAATTTTGTTTTTTCATCTGCTAATATATCGCTGTTAATGATTTATTTTTTTCTGCATCCTTTTACCTTTGATCTTTTTGTTCTGTTCTTATCAATATGGTTAATCCGATTTCTTTGCCCTACCTTGGGAACGACTTGGTTTGCGCTTTGAATTTGGTTGTGCTACTCATTGGTGGCCAAGAAGTAGACATTCAATTAGATTTTTTATTAGGTTTGTCTGTCTTCTAATATTTTCCAACTAAGATTACGTTTTTTTCTTTATGTTATTAAATTTGATCGTTTGTACTACTCTCGTTCTACCATTATAGTGCATCCAACCATTTGCCCTGCTTTGGGGACGATTTGTTGTGGGTCATGATTTTTGTTGTGCTATCTAATTGTAGCTAAGGAAATTGGTCATTTGGCTAGATTTTTAAGTGCTCTTATATACACATATTTTTCCTACCAATGATCTCTTTATTTCCTTATTCTT